CCCATGGTGAGAGTAAAGACACCAAGACATTCAAAGTTATGGGCCTCTAAGAGATGCTAAGCCGTATCCAAGTGAGGATGTATGGGCAAAAGCTCCATGCAAGGCCTCTTCCAGAATTTATTATCTTGTGCAGAGGGGAGTGGTTCAAGATTGAGTGACAGTGAAGATGGTGGGAATTGCATGAGTAACTTGAGCTGGCTAGCCAGATGGAGAGAAAAGCATCTTTGCAATATGCAGGAAGAATGATATGCAGCAGGGCCAATTAGGGTAGCATTCAAATGGTTTTAGGAAGCTGTTGCTTCAGTTTCTGGTATGTAAACTTTTGTACTCTGGGAAGTCATGGCCTTTTATTTTGAGGCTAGAACCCAGTTGACATTTCTGGAGCTGGCTGGCTCTGCCATCCCATTGTGTTCAACTGTTTAACGGGGAACACAATACGAGGAAATAGGAAACTGTCAGGTTGGCCTCCAGGATTATACATCAGTATCTTGGCTGGCCTTATTTGCATTGCTTACAGCCAATTGAAGGGAGAAGAACATACCATAGCCAGCTCTGTACATATCAGTACATAGGAACCAGACTTGATTTATCTAATTGTTCTGCATTCAAGGGAAGCCATTCAAATTATCTTCTACACTATAGAAGCTTGTCGTGCTAGCTTTCCTGACATGACATGGGAACTTGGCTGTTCCCATTGTCAGAGTAGCTCAGGTCCTTGCTGTCACTGAGATCCTGTGGTTCTCTTCAGGGGAGCTCTGGTCCTTACATTGTAAGTCACTCTGACTCCAGTGTAGAACCCACAGCCTGCTGGCACGGTTCTTTCATTCTGCTGGCACAGACTTTCTAGCTTCCACCACTGAACTTTGGGCCTTCCCAGTGCAGATCCTTGATACAGACTTGTCATGAGATCTGTAGGCCTCCAGGTGGCCTTTGCCATGGGCTCTAGGTCTTCATCTGGACTTGTGCAGGACATCGCTGTGGGATCCAGATCCTCAGTTGGATTATTTGGATCTCTTGTATGTGAATAGATTTCCTGAACTCTTTTGCATTTGACTGTTTGGGTGAATATTTTAAAATAATGCTATAAATTGTGTGTCCTATTATGGGACCAAGGTAAGCCAGGCAAAAACCCCTGAGATCACAGACATGAGAGGCAAGCTGGTGTTAGGCAGAGGGGTTTTACCTCACATCAACCAAGTCTATCAGTAAATGCCCTGCAGTCATTGGACGGTAGAGAGTGGGGGAGGGGGAGTAGGAAGAGGGAGAGCTCCAGCTGCCCTCAGCCTTCTGCATTTCCACTCTTGCTTCTTCATCATGCTCTTCCTCTCTGGAAGTTTCTCCAGAGCCGCACACTTGGGAAAACAGATTTAGGAAGTACGGCTCTTGATGGGTCCCCAGGTTGGTATAACACGCAATGACCTGGCCCAACCACCAGGTTCGTATCTTTGGAATGTGGCACAGCAGAGCCCAAAGCATTGTAATCACTGGCAAGTATTTTGTTTTGTGTAAGGATCTATTTGATCAATCAGCTCTTTTGTAATAAAAGGCTTTGCAAAGCACTGGCTGGCTGGCTGGTGACACCTTGGTGTGAGGTGAATAGAGCTAAGGGGAACAATAGGAGCAGAGGTCCCTGGGGGGAGGGTGGCCAGCACTGTGGGAGTGCTGGTGGTGTGATGCCTATGGGGTAATTCCCCCAGGGACCCTGCGTGGGCTTTGAAGATGTCACATATATGTAGGCAGCTGTGAGTGTATCACTGCACATGGGTTTTAAATTACATCCTTGGTGAAAACCTAGGATTACCATGTTGCTTCTTCCATCCACCCACCCTGGGCTCCCAGTACCTGAGTCAAGAACACTGCGAGTGAAACCTGAGTGGGAAGGGCAGGCGGGCTGTGTTGGTACATGATGTAAAGAAACCTCCGGGGGCCCAGGGATGCTTGAAGTGGTGCTGGGAAAATATAGCCAGAACACACTTCGTGTGAAATTAAGTTTTTAAAAAGAAAACAACAAACAAATGTTTTGACATTTGGTGGAAATCATAGAGATGACTAATCACCTCCTCCAGGGTGTAGAAGCAATTTCCATAAATAGATAATTCCAGAGGAGCATGGGGTTCCCTGAGGAAATAACACCTCCGAAACCCTGCCTCCGGGCAGCTCTGCCATGATCCTTGGATCACAGGTGTGCGTAGCTGGGGTGGGGGTGGGGGTCTGTCTAGCTCCAGAATTCTGAATGGCCCTTCACACTTGCTCTGAACATTGCTACCAGGAGGCATTTCTCAGCTTCCACCTTGCTCCAGCTCTCAAAACAGTAGCAAGATTCACAGGAGATCTCTGAGCTTTGTGTGCAGAGAGGGTTTGAGCCCACTAGGGCTGAATACTATACTGGCAAGCACTCAAGGACCCTGAAGTCCTTACATGAGAACTTAGGATAGTAGGATCTGCTTTGCTTGAAAGATGAAATGAGAAGATGTACACAAAAGCCTGTGGTACGCAGCTGGGCCTCGGTAAAAGGTTCCTCTCTGTGTTTGGCCTACCCTGCTGAATGAAGCACTGTAGACAGGATGGCTGCCCAGAACTGTTTGCGGCAGGTTAAACATGAAGTGGCCTGTGGTCTGAGGTCCCGAGCCCTGGCTTTGTGAGGCACCTGTGAGCCATGAGGGGGCTGAGGACTGGAATCCCATACAGAATCCTGGCCCATGTGGGAGAAAATGCAGAGGAAACTGGAATGAAGCTACTGCAAGAAATCAGTGCTGGGAAGTAGCTAGCATAGTGGGCAGGCTCAGACACCTGGTTGCGGAGGTCAAAATCCTGGCTTCCTTGCTGCTGGGCATAGGACAGTCACTCGACCTTTCTGTGCACCAGGTTGCCCCCAATAGCTGTGCCAGCCTCTCGGAGCTGGGGCCTGCTTGCAGGAAGGACGTTGTGCGGGTTTGTATCATCACAGCTCTCAGGTCACGTCCCTTCTCCCTTTCCACTGCTTGGGTTTTTATTTCTTTATTTGATCTCTAGGCTCTCTCCTGACGCGAGCAGTGTCCTTCTTGTTCCTTCCCTTATGGCTTTGACTGCTGCTTGGGGCTCTGGTCCATGTGTTCCGCAGTTTGTGTTGCAGCCAGCTCAGCTCTGCCCCTAGGTGAGGGCCCATGCTGGGAGGTATTTATCTTGCACAGGTGCATGGTATCGATCTTTGAAGCCAGCTGGGAGACTCCACCCAGAGGGAACTGGCCAGTATATCTGGGCCAAATGCTACAGATTAAGTGCACAGTCATCTAAAGGCTGCCCTTGTGGACCCAGACATGGGGTGGGGGTCACAAGGCCACTTTTTCTTCTGAGCAGTTGGCTACAGATTTGGGGATTCCCACTGCTCTTGAGAATTCAGTCATTTGCTAGAATGACTCATGGAACACAGGAATGCACTGCACTCAGGACTGCAGTGCAGTTGATGTGTGGCACTTAGAGTGTCACCAGCTGGGGCAGTGCATCTAAGCTTTGGCATCCTGAGTTTTACTAGAGTCTCATCCTAAAGGCATGGGTGATAGAATCTTTGCCTTCGCGGCTCAATCTCCAGCTGTTCTCCTCTACCCAAGGTCGGGCTGATTTTTTTTTTTTTTTTTTTTTTTGGTACTGGCAGTTGAACCCAGGGACTCAGGCATGCCAGATAGGTGCTGCTCATTGAGCTACATCCCTAGCCCCAGGCTCATGTCTTAAATCTTCTAATCACATGGTGGTCTTTTGATGTGACCCCAACCTTCCAATTATATCAGTGGCTGATGTGACCAGCACCCATCCTGAGTTACCTTGCTAGCCTAAATCATCAGCTGTGGCCTAAGAGACCCCTGTGAGGAACACTAGGGAAAGTCCAAGGATGTACAGACTCCCTTTGGAGAACTAGGGACAGAAACCAACAATTCCTTACCATACTGTTGTCAGGTAGTTCCTTTAGAAATGGTTCACCAGTAAAACTTATTCCAGGTCCTTCTTGCTGCGAACAAAGACAAGCCAAAAACAGTGCCTGAGGTTTATTTAAAAAAGATAGGCAAAGAGTTTGTGAGAGAAACACTGGCCCAGGAGAGCGAGCTTGGGCTAAACAAAAAGAGGGAAGATAAAAGCAGAGCTAAAGGTCCACTAGAAGGTCTAGAAGACGCAGAGAGGGCTGCTGCAAAGTATCATGACCGCAGTTCCTCATGGTGTCTCGTTCCTTTTATGCCATCCACGTCTCCTGGAGCCTCCACACAGGGTCCTGGGGGTGATTTGGTGCTGTCCCAAACTCTTGTAATTGATAGATCTCCCCCACATCCCCAGCCAGCTTTGCTGCCCCTGTGTCCTGTATAACACAACCACGCAGCAGTGCCCACTGCCCTTCTTCCTCCAGCTGTACCCCTTCCATGTCCTCATGCTTCTTTCCAAGAGCAGACTGGATGGACCGGACTCATCTTCTCCCAGCAAGATGGGAAATGTCATGATGGCAGCCAACCCCTGGTGAGGTGCCTCCCGGTGCCCTTGGGGCAGAGCAATGGTATACTATTTCATCCCAGGCCCAAGGTAATGGGGTCAAGCAGTCTTGGAATGACTTCTGAATCCATGAACCAAAATAAACCTTTCCTCCTTAGAAGCTGATGTTTGGTCACAGGAACGGAAAGCTGACTGACAGCGACCAGTGCATAAGGGAATGGAGAGGACAGTTTTAATTTTGGCTCCTTTAAACCTCTTGATGTCACACATTTCTGCTAGAAGTTTCTTTTTAAACATTTCTTCACTGTTGTTCTCAAGATCATGATACAGTTGTGTGCTGCCTGGTCTGTGGGCTTTTCTTTCCCATTTGTAATTCACTGTGATAAGCCAGAGACAATGAGTCTTGATTGAGTGTATTTTCAGGAATCAAGACATACTTCATATTTGGGCTAAAAATGAGAATATATAATACTATATGTTAGACTCTGAGAGTGAGAGATAGTGCCATCTCATAGAAATAAAATGTGAATCACATGTGCATCTTTCAACTTTAGCAATTACATTTAAAAAGGACAAAGAAACAGACCAATTAATTTAATGGTATGTTTTATTTAATGCAGTACATACACAGATATAATTTCAACATGTAATCAATGTAAACATTAGAAAACATTCATTGTTTTCTAAAGTCTTTAGGTTTTACAAATACCTTAAGTTAGCCTAGCCCTGATTCAGATGCTCTAAAGCCCACTCCCTGATTCAAATGCTCTAAAGCCCACTCCCTGATTCAGATGCTCTAAATCCCACTCCCTGATTCAGATGCTCTAAAGCCCACTCTCTTGCTGGCTCCTTACAGCCTCCTGCTGAGGAAAGCGCTGGAGGAAAACCTTCCCAGAAGTCCCTGTGCCCGTACTCTGGCTCTCTCCTCTACTGGCCAACCAGCACCCTCCGTGGACCTCTGGCTCCTCATCTGCAGAGCAGAGATGATAATAACTCTTACTGGTGTTACTGGAGTTGTTGGGAGGTTTAAGTGGATACTGTAAGAATGTGGTAGAGAATAGGTGATTTATAAATACATTCTTTTTTCTTTACCCTAAGGACATCAAGAAATGCCAGCGCTCAAGTTATTAATTTGGCTTCTGATCCATTTTGAGAAGGGTGTTCAGAGTTTTCTAAATGTATTTTGGTTCTTCTTTTTCTGTAGAATGACTCAGAGGAGGTTGGGAATATCTTGTTAGGCTCCCTGACACTGTAACACATCCCGAACCTACTTCTTCACTGTCTGATTGCATTGCTTTGGGTTAACAAATTAGGAATAATTTAGGGTAGAATGGGTAGATTGTGTAGGAGTGTCAGTCTTTCCATCAGTTTTATTGAAGTATAATTTTTAGAGTTGAATATACTCAAAGTATACAAGATGATTACTATATGCAAGTAAATGTTACAAGATGAGAACTCCAATTAAGTTCATTATCACATCCATTCCCTCTTGTGTTACCTTTCATTTGGGGTGAGAACACTTGAGATTTGTCAATCTCAAGTCAAGCAAACGACAAGCATATAACACAGTGCTATGAACATTGTGTGTACCTGAACCCATATCTGTCATGGCCTCCTCATCCCAAAGCTTTTAAGAAAGAGATATTAAGCCTCCAAGATTCAGAGACTGATACCTAAGTGAGAAGGCCCAGAATATGAGGACATGAACCTGTCCCCCTGCCACGGGAGCTGCCTTTCACCAGTGCCACCTCTCCTGCATTTAGCAACTGGAATCACAGGATTTCTCTTTGTTTCTGCCACATTTTATCTTTGCAGGTTTGAAGCTGCTGTTCTTCCCACTGGGTCATTTTTCTATCTTGGTTTTGTTAACTGGGATGTGGAATGATATGGCGGGTGTGGTGTTCACAATTTGGGCAGCTGTCTTTCCTGTGTTTTTGCAAGCAAGTGAGGCGAAGCTGGAGAACTCACGGCTATGAGCTTCGCCCCAACCCCACCAGCCACTGGGTAAGAATTGGGTCTCAGACCTTGGTCTCCATTCCTCACTCCTTGGAGCCCCTAACTACAGCTGTTCACTTCTCTTTCTGGTCTCTGGGCCTCAGATTTCCTGTGTACCATCTCTGGGGTGCTACTCTTGGAACCTGTACTTAGTCTGGGCAGGCCATGGTGCAGGCTCTAGTTCCCCTCATGACAAGGCTCTGCTCTTCCTCAGTGGCACCTTACGGGTCTGCTGTGTGGGACAGACATGCCTCCCCCAGGCCATCTTGTCCCCTCATCCTGAGTCTTTGAAAAGAAAGCGCTGATTTGCGTTTTCTCTTCTGTTCTCCCTTTACTGCCTGTCTGGCTCTGTCTGTTACCAATCAGCCAGGGGTTCTTTTGCTGCATGTGAATGGAAATCATGAAACAGCTATATCCCTGGGTGGAGTCTGAGAGGGTTCCCACCCCTTGCCATGGAGTAGGTTCACTGACTTTCATCAGACAGAGAGTATTTCAGGACATGTCACTGGGAGGCATGGGCAGATTTTTAGGCAGTTAGAAAGCAAGAGAAAATAGAAAAAGGGCCTTTAGCTTGAGGAGCCGAATGAAGGAGGGGCAGCTCTGATGAGCAGACTGAGCTGGTAACAAAAGAAGGACCAGCTTTATGGCTTCTCTGATGGGATGTGCATAGGCTGGGACTTTGCCGCCGGTCATGAGTATGGAATTTTAGTGTTCTCTGTCAAGTTTTGAGGTACTCTCTTCTGGTAAGCTATGGATTAATACTATGCTCTCCCTTGGAAATGTCTCCCTCCACTCCCCATCATGATCCCTGCTGTAACAGCAGGGGATAAGGAGAGGGTACAGACTGAACAGAGAAATGCTGATGTCTCCTTTTAGTGGCATTATGGCTTGTGTCTAGATATCCCCTCAAATCTACATGAGGTTGTGGAAAACAGACCACACATGGGAAAATATGTTCCCAAGGAGGTTTAAGAGGCAGTTTATTATACCAGTTGGCCTCTTACTAGGGATCTTTCCCAAAGAGCCAGAGTCCTGCCCAGCAGGATTTGGGGGTTTTATGGGGAAAATAAGGGGGAGATTCAAAGGCAGATTTAATATGCTATGATTGGAGGGTTGGGTAACATCTTGGGTTGCTAAGGGAGTTTGAACAATTAAGATTACATTGTAAAGGCCAGAGATTTAGCTCAGTGGTATAAGCACCTGCCTGGCAAGTGCGAGGTCTTGAGTTTGATCCCCGGTAAAAAAAAAAAAAAAAAAAAGGTTACGTTGTAAGGCCATTGGCTATACAAAGCATGGGTCAATGTCCTGTTACATTTTAAGTTACATTGCAAGGTCATCAGTTGGACAAGTTTGCACAAAGGAAAGAAGGTTTTATTATCAGGGAGATCCAGAGATGCTCATTTGGTTTTGCCAGGCTTTCTTGGCAGGCTTTTATTTAAAATGTTAATTTCCCTTTCAGTCATAGGTGGGATCTCTCAGAGTAGAGCTGGCTGGAGCCAGAGTGTGTGATGCTGGGATGCAGAGTGTGTGATTCTAAGTCAGCCTGCTGACTGTTTGGCATGGCTCTGGGTGTGGATCTCGCAGGAGGCCCACCCTGTGTGGCCCACCCTGTGCAGGGCAGGTAGCCTGGATGGAACGTAAGGGACAGCGCAAGGCTACTGCCCTTGATGGTCATTTGCTGCTTTGCCACCTCACTGCTTGCTGTTTGACTGCCCTCTGCCTGCCATGGACTGTTTCTGTCTGCCTGTCTGCCAGGCCACCCAGCCTTGGAGCAAGCTGATGGTGGACCAAAACTTCTACCAACTGCGAGCTAAATAAACCTTTCCTCCTTTAACTTTGAGTGTCAAATTTTTTCTTTCTTTCTTTCTTTCTTTTTTTTTTTTTTTTTTTTGTATTGGGGATCAAACTCATGACTTCACACTTCCCAGGCAGGCATTTATGCCACTGAGCTAAATCCCCAGCCCCAAGTGTTTTTGTCTCAGCAACGAGAAAAGTAACAAAGACAGTGACAGCAGGTCATGGAAGAAGGCCTGTGACTCCAGGTCTCCTGTCCCAAGAAGGCACCCATCCATTTAGGTTCCTCACTGAGGACTGGCTGCTGCTAGCCCTGGTGTACCACACCCCAGGGAACATGCACTTTCTTTTTCCCTCTCAGACTATGCAGCCCTCACCAGGCTGATATTGTCCCCAGTTTCCACATAAGGGGACAGAGGCTCAGAGATATTAAACAGCTTGCTTGAAACCATAATAGCAAGCTGAGTGCGGTGGCACATACCTGTAGTCCCAGCTGCTCAGGAAGCTGAGGCAGGAAGGTTATAAATTTGAGGCCAGCTTTGGCAAATTAGTGAGATCCTGTCTCAGGTAAAATTTTAAAAAGGTGTAGGGGCGTTACTCAGATGTGAAGTACTTGCCTGGCAAGCTACCAAACCAAACCAAACTAAATAAAACACAGACAAGAGAACCTCCTCTCAACAATATTAACCACAAAATCCTACTGATACTGGAAGGTGGCTGGTCTGTTTTTATCCACGCAGTCCATGCAGTCAACAAGTATTTACTGAGCACCTACAGTGTGCGGTTCCTCTCCAAAGCCCATGCTCCCCCTGTGCCGTATGGCTCTGTGGAAACTCAGGTCTCAGGGCAAGAGGCTGGGAACGGGAGGTGGATGGGTGCCACGCCTACGGGTGTGGTGCACGCAGCTCCTGTCCTGACACTAGGTGGGGCTGCTCACTCTGCTCTCCCAGCCCCAGGATGGGGGATGGGGTGGGAGGCCCTTCTAGTCTGCCTGGGAGGGCACCCAGCTGAGGTCCTGCCTGCCCTGGAATGCAAAAGGACTGTAGAGAACTTGGAGCCCCTCTCATGAGCAGCATTTTGGTTGCTCAGAAGTTGCATTCTGGAAATCTTTGGGAGGTAGGTGACACAGAAAGACACAGAACGGATTTGAAGCCCAGCTTCCACCAAGTGACATTGTCCTGGAACTGCGACATTCATTTTTTGTTCTTTTGCCTGTAAATTTAATTTTGAAAAGTTTCAACCATACAAAAAGTAGAACAGTACAGAGAATCTTGCCTGTATCTTATCCAGAGCCACCACTGGTTTACGTTCAGACACACCTGCTTAGTCTTTTTGTCACACTGCATGTGTGTGTATGTGAGTGGGTGTGGGTGTGACAATGGATGTGTGCATGAGTGTGGCAAGCATGGGTATGTGTGAGTCTGTTAAAAGCAGTCCCAGACAGCATGCCCTTGCCGAGAGCGCTTCAGCATATCCCTCAGGAGCAGGAGTCTCTCTGCCGTCTAGAGCCTCTCGGTGGGGTTAGGTGTGAAGAACAGAACAGAAGGGAAACTGTGCTTGGCTTCAAACTGCAAGATTCCTGGGGAGGCTAAGGACAGAAGCACCAGGAAGCCACCGTTGGTGTCACCTCTTCCTTACTGGCTTTCAGGGAAATGGTAGACCAAATCAGATTCACATGGTGACTTTATTTTTACTTTGACGCTTTAAAAAAAGCCTAAAAGGCCATTTATATTGGAAGAAGTGATTTCATCTGGATAGAAGCTTAAATCTCCCTAGTGACCGACTCTGATTTTTTTCCCATCTTTCCCTTACACAGTGGTACTAAGCTATCCATGTAAAAAGAGACAAAGCCAGGCTTAGTAGGAAACAGCCAACTTCCCCAACAGGCCAGTTCCAGCGGACCTGACAAGGAAGTTCCCTCTTGCCCTAACAGCGGCAGAGGAAGGAAGATGTGGACTTACCCACATTCACCAGTCAGCTACACCCCTATTGCTCTGTCTCCCTGTCCTCCTAAAGGATCTTGAAATGATCCGTCTCTCTTCATTTTTGTTTCTGCACTTTTCAAGCCTTTCTCTATAAAAACAATCTTCTCTTCTCAGAAGTCAGAATATGTACTCTACTTACGGAATGAAATGTTGCCTGATTCTAGAATTGAAAAGAAAAGCAATTAAAGCTGCTAGAGTAAATTGCTGTATATTGTCCTTTGATAAATACAGTATGTTCCCCCACCACACCCCCAGTGCTGGGGATTGAAACCAGGCCCTTTGCATTGAGCTACATCCCCAGATATTTTTATATTTTTTGAGTACAGTCTTACTAACTTGCCCAGAAAGGACTTAAATTTTAAATCCTCCGGCCTTAGCCTCCCAAAATGCTGCAATTATGGGCCTATGGCAATATGCCTAGCTGCTCTTTTCTTTTTAAAAGCTATTTTCTTTGAGTAATTAAAAATTTTGCTCCCCTATTCCTATATGTTGTGTGTTTCTTTCTTACATGTTTCCACTGCTGGACAAAGTGGTTCTGCAAAGGAACATCCGGCTTTTGAAAACTGCTTTCTGTGATTTTTTCATATTATTATGGAGAGCTAAGCTAGAGAGAAATTAATAACAGAGAGGAATGGGGCTCTCAAGGAAGTCAGTAAAAATACAGATACCAGAATCATGGCTGGAGGCATATCTAAAGAAGGCCAGGCCCTCCAGATAATGTCACAATGGCCCAGCTTTTACACTACCCCAAGGGATAAGCAGAATTCTAATCAGTACCTGGTCCATTAAGTCCAGTATGTATCAGATACCTGAGTGGGTGACCAGAACACCTGGGCCTGTCCCTTCCAGAAATGTTCCTGTTTCAGAAGTCTTGGATAAGCCAAGGTTAATGGTGCCAGCCTTGTGTCCTTGTTATTGGTCCGGCTTCCCTGTTGAATTAGTGTGAGCTAAGTGGCTATAGGTATAATCTGATTGGTTGATTTCAGCTCGGGGCTCACTTTGTACTGTATTATGGCTTTGCTGTGTGAATATCCTTGACTAAGGCCTCAGCAGCCACTGACTTGGAAGCCCTCCTGTCTCTCAGGAGCTACTCCTATTTTCCTGGTAAACCTTTCTTACTCAACCTCCTGTGTCCTTTGGAATTCATTCTTCTGTTCCAGGAGACACAAACTCAGCATATCTGACGTCTGGCAGGTTGGGAGTTGTGTTTCTCCTATATCATTGTGACATAAAGTGACCTATATTTTGAAAAAAAAAAAATGGTTTCAACCTAAAGGTAGGAAAAGGATTTTAGAATTTTCTCAGTACCTGGATGATGCACGCAGATTTTCCTAGCTAGTGAATTTCTAATTTTTAAATTTTAATTCATATGTTTAACTATACATCAGTAGCTTGTATTTTTGAAATATCCTAACTTGTTAATAAGGAAAGAAACTAGATTTGCTTAAATCTATTTATGCCTGATATTCTGAAATTCTAAACTAGAAATAACTCAGAGGATTTGGAGTGGTTCTAATTATGGTGATCAAGCCTAAAGTGGCTTTTTGGGAAACATTTTTATTCTTTTTTGACGAAAATTTAAAGATTGTATTTCGCAGCTTCAGTAGCTAAAAACACAGCTTTAAAAATATGGCTTAATGTGTATTCAAAAAAAATCTTTCTTTTGTTGGTTTTGTTTTTCTCTGGGAAAGGGAGCAAAGAATTGAATATGGCAAAAAGTAGTAACTATATAACTTTAAGTTGGGGTATTTTCATCTTTTAAAAAATTTTATTTAAAGAAAGACAGTACAAAACAGAGAATGGGTAGAAACAATACATACTTTCAAAGAAAAAAACAGTAATAAATCACTTGTTAATGTGTATATACTGTCCTCTTACAAATAATTGTTCAAGATACAAAAGTGGAGCATATAGATGGGAATTCAAACAGGGAGATTGCAAACAATTCTGTTCACCTATCTAATAAAATCTTAGTAATATGGTTATCAATCCTATACACTTAAACATACATATATTTATCCATATATTCATTAGTCTTGAGATTAAACAAGCCAAAGCAGACTAAAATCACTCTGAACAAAGAATAATAGTATTGCTGGATTTCACATCATGACACTCCGGAATCAGCTTTGGGTCCTGTAGTGCCTTTTTTCCTTCAAAGTATTGTTCATTTCATCATGTGTCATAAGATCAGTTCTCATAAACTGTTTGTAGGTTTTATGCAAGTATGAGTCTTAACATGTATTTCTATCCTTTCTATATTAGAGGGAGGAACAGAACAAAGCAGGACAGAACAAAACATTCCTATAGACACATAAAACTAAAAAGACATATAAGACTGCTGTACAAGGAGTTCTACCATGGTTACTGAGTTGTTTCTTGTTATCAATAGAATTGGTGATATCATCAGATAAAGTATAATTGCATATATCAGTACATAACAGTATTAATAGAAATGAAACTTTGTAGGTAGTGTAGAACTGCAAAAACAGGTAGTAATCAAACCAGAATGGGTACTGTAGTGAATCATTGTCATTTTCAGTGTAGTTGTCTATCCTCTCTGACTGATAGTATTAACCTTAACAATTTTGAATAAAATCTGTCAATAACAAACACAATCAAGCAAATTAGATTTAACTAAGATCAGTCATGATATAACAGTATAAGTCACATAGGGCTCCAGATTAAGTTAATAGGAAATTAAAGATGATTGCTGTGCTATATCCTGATATTTTTGGGACAGCTGTCTGTGCCCTCAGATCTAGTCCTTCTATACAAACTTGACGGTATAAGTTCTATCTAAGCAGAGTGGTGTGAGTAATATGAGTTTTAATTCCTGATACACTATTAGCAATATCTTCTGCTGTCTTTTTAAAAAACTGTTCTTCCCCTTTCACTCCCCCAGGCTGTACTGTGCATTTTTGGGTCTCCCCAACACCCTTGGTTTTATATTGGGAGGACAACTTGCTATTTTCTTAAGTGTTTCTGAACTTTCTTACTCCTGGACTTGATCTCTAGTTGTATTTCTTTACCTATGAAAGACTGTCTTTCCAACCTATCCATAAATACTGGTCCAGTTGCCCTTATTACTCTCTGGTTTCTTATCACATAGAGTTCTGTTTTCTCATATTTGATTTTTGGTCCATGTACCCTTCTTTAGGTTAATTATATTCCCTATAAAAAACATCTCGGTGGACCCTACCTCTTGATCCACTCTGCCTGTGATTCTCTCTTTTTTTCCTTAATTTAGTATATCTAGGCCATCTATATTAGAAATTATATCCAACCTTCTCTGCCTTATTTCTGTTGAGCTCTTTTCCCATCATTAGTTGTCTGTTTGTCTTCTTCATTTCATTTTCTATACCATTCACTGGGGCCTCTCAGCCACAGTTCCTGGAATCCTGGTGCTTTTCTCTCTCTTTAGAATGTCCTGCAGTATTCTCTGTAGAGTTGGATTGGTGGCTGCAAATTCCCCCAGTTCCTCTTTATCTTGGAAGCATCTTGTTTCTCCATTAATTTCTAGGCACAAATTTTCAGGGCACATCAATCTGGGCTGGAGGTTATTTTCTTTCAGGGCTTGGAATACTTCACTCCATGCTCTTCTTGATTTGATGGTTTGTGCTGAGAAGTTTGACGTAATTCTGATGGACTTTCCCTTGTAAGTGATCTGTTTCTTGTCCTGACAGCTTTTAATATTCTGTTCTTATACTGGATTTCTGGGATCTTGATTATTATATGCCTAGGTGTAGCTTTGTTTTGGTTGTAGGTGGCTGGAGTACTGTATGCCTCATACATCTGAATATCTTTTTCTTTTCCTATGTTTGGGAAGTTTTCCTTGATTATTTTTGTGAATAGCCTTTGTAGTTCCTTTGTTTGTACCCCTACTTCTTCATTCACATTCTTTATTCTTAAGTTATAGATCCTCTTGTCACCTTCTAGCCTTTGTATTGTTACTGCTTGTTTCCTTGTTATTTTTAAGAAATTTTTTCTTTCATGATTCCACACTGCAAACCTGTCCTCCAGTTCACATAATCTATCCTTAGTTTCTTTCAAGCAGTTTTGCCAGCTTTCAATGGAGTTTTTAATTTCCTGGCAATCTCTTTGAACATGCTTTATGTATTCTATGTTTTGTTTTCTCTATTTTCTTCATCAAACAATTCTCCCCTTTTTTTTGTGTTCCTCCATTCTTCCATCTGTTTTTTTTTTTTTACTGAGAGGTGCTTAGCATTTCTTTTATTATTCTATTTATATCTTGCTTAACTTGGTTAAATATTTCACTTTTGAACTTGTCTATGAGGTCCTGAAGATATCGCTTTATGTCCACTGGTGTTGTGTCTGATATTGCATGTTTGCTGTCCTCAATCTCCTTTGCATTTACCTTTTCTGGATCAATGTTCCCCAAGTTGGGGGCTAGGACCCTTTCTTGTTGCCTCCTCTTCTCGTATTTTTTGTTCCTTCCATACAGGTCTATATAGGAGGTCCTAGTTCCTTTCTTTACTGGATACAGTTCCTCTGAAATGCACTAACTAGGTGCTGCCACCCTCTGCAGTGTACTACAGAGGTACAGACTGGGGCAGCCTATGCTGGGCCCTCCCTTCTGGGTCAGTCAACCTACTGAAGGTTTCACTGTATTAGGGTGCACCACCTAGGGACTTGGTTTGGGCTAGTCTATTGGGTCTCAGTCCAGGGCGTGACCCAGCTCAAGTGCTTCCCACCAATCCTGCTTGAGAAGAGAGCAGCTGACTGAAGTCACTGCAGCTCCTTGTTCTTGCCAGTTTGCCCAGTCCCAGAATGTCATCTGTTGGAGTCCCTTTTTTCCTATGGAAAGGTTTTATTCCCATCACTCACCGCAGGCAGGTTCCCTGCCAGCTTAGTTCTCCATTTGGTTCACCCACTCCCGTCCTCAGTGCAAGTGCGTTTCCAGTGAATCAAAGCGGCAGGATTTCAGACTGCTTGGTAAATCACCACCGCAGGAGTTCGCGCGCTGCAGTGGGAGCCCTGAACCTTTAGCTGTTCCAGTCAAGCACCAGGACCTTATGTTTGATTGGTTCTTCTCACCTTGGGACAAGAGGATTCATCTTCCTCTGTTCAGGACTCCCCATCCTGTGTTATGTTAAATTCTAAGTTGACTATCTCAGGGAGCCTCTGTAGCCAGCTGTTACCTATCTGCCATCTTTACCAGACTCCAGGGTATTTTTATCTTAGAGTGGACATTCTTTAGCCACACTTATTCTGCCATGGTTTAAAAAAATCAGTAGTAAAGACTGAGCATGTCAGTCATGAACTTAGTGTTTGATTAAGGCATCTTACTTGTGATTGTTTATATGATTAGCCTCATATACTTTGATAACAACTTTGTTTTTGCTTTGCCAGCTCAAAAATAACTTTTTGCTAGGAACTCTTAAAATCCATTATCAGTTTTGTTTGGATCACTCTGTTTTTTGTGTAGTATTTCTTGGACAAAAAAATTTGGCAATGTGAATCTTTTTGCTGTAGAATATAAGTTTGAAGCTGGAAAGGTATAATTTATTGAATTCATTTATTGGTAGAATTTGTGTGCTTTGTGTTTTAAATGCTTCAGGCTGCTGGTTAGGCAGTTTCTAGTGTGAATTTCCCTTTTCTGTTTCCTGCCTGGAGCATGCAGTATGTTTAAAATACTTCATTTTCTCCTTGGTGGTTCTTATATCTACACAGTACTGTAAGTTAGCTAAATTGTATATTATATTATTAAGTCTAATCAATTATAACTAAAGGACTTTGTCTTGGAACTTTCCTCAAGTTAAGCTTAAGTAAAAAGGGTTAAAAAAAAAAGGTTGGGGACCAGAGGTTTAGCTCAGTGGCACAAAAGCCTGCCTGGCAAGTGTGAGGTCATAAATTCAATCCCCGGTACAAAAAAGAAAAAAAAGTATATTGATCACATTTTATTCCTTTGAAAGTATACAGTTTGTGAAGTAAATAGCTGGAAAGGTAGAAAAGCAGAAAAATAGGGTGTTTTAATAGAATATTGTTCAAGAATTCAGTGTCTCTTCAAATATCATATCTTTTGGCATCACTTGTCATTCCAGGATGTTACTTCCTTGAGAAAAGTCCACCTGGCTGCTGCTATCTTATACCTCATATGCTGCTTATTGGAAACAAAACAGTGCATAGCTGAATGCTCTAACACAACACCTGCCCCCCCCACCCCATTCACGCTATCATGAAAACAATGATTGCTGGGTGGAAGATTTTACAATCCATGTGCTACAGTTCACTGGAGTAAAACAAATATTTAGTTGATAACAGCTTTCTGGCCCGCAGTATTGACACCCTTTCACTAGGTATGACCTTGGTTATTGGCTTCCAGTCAGAGATGATGTCATATGCATTCAGAGCACTACATTATTGAATACAGTAAGTCCCTGACTTAGGAGCGAGTTCCATTCTGGGAGAAGTTCCTAAGCTGAATTCCTATGTAAGTCTGACACAGTGAGTCTTACACACTCATGACACAAATAATATGTTGTAAAGCACAAAATACCACACATGCCCATAGCCACACAAACGCAGAAGTCCTCTTCTGCAGGGTATGAGTGTGCGCCATCACACTGCAGAGAGCACAGCGACACAACTGCAGCAGCGTCTGGCAGAAACGAGCTGCTTCTGTGATCTGTTCACACCTACACATTTTGTAATCTGAGGTCTGCTTGAGTTTGGAGTGTTCACCACTCTGGAGTTCCTACTCGGGGACTTACTGCTCTGCAGTTCTGTCATGCTCTTGGGGCCATCTTGCACTGTGTTAAACCTACTAACTGTTGCAATTCCAATGTAAGTGTTTAATAAATGGATACATTCAGGAAAAAAAATGAATCTTCCTAGATCCACATCTCATGTTATAATCATTTTAAAAAGATGCACTCTGTGGTATTTAAGGGTAAAGCATTGCAATGATAAACTTTTTTCAAATGGTTCAGAAAAGCAGTGTGTGTGTGTGTGTGTGTGTGTGTGTGTGTGTGTGTACACTGCAAGAGATGAGGTTAAGATGTGACCAGTGGACCACACGTGACAGGTGTTTGGACAGTGTGACACCATCACTCCAGCTTCTCTGGAGACTAGGACATTTTGAAATCCTAAATTGAGAAAAACAACAATGGCAGTATGGCAAAATGTTTTACAAAGTAATATCCTACATGCTGGGTGTAGTGGCACACATCCAGCAGTCAGGAAGCTGAGGCAGGAGGATCACTCCAAGTCAGAGGCCAGCCTGGCCACATAGAGGTGGCTGAAGGTAGTGGTGGTGCACTCCACAGATAATTTAGAAAATATCTTTTTTGTATCAAAGTCCTGGAGTGGGAGCTGAGGTCAACATGGGAGTGCTAAGCACTGCCACTCCTTGAGGGAAGCATGGAGTGAGAGGTCTGGAGAGGAAGCTGAGAAGATGGGGAAGAAGGCAAGACATGGCTGGGCTGAGGCCCTGCAGCTTCAGGGCTGGACCTGCCCATGAGAGGAGGGGATGGCTGCTGTTTTATTAGGAGATGCTTCCATGTGGCCTGTGTGGATGTCAGTTGAGTGGAAGCTTCTAGAACCCTGCCATGGCCAAACAGGCTGATCTGTTCCATAGATGGTGGTTTGAAGAAAGACAGAAAGGGCCTTGAGAGATCAAGACCCTCTCACTTTGCCACGTGCAAAGGTGTTTCTGTCAGCTCCTTTGAGGTCGTGCCAGCTGGTCTCTCTCGATGGAACATCATGGCCGGCTTGCGGCGGAGCCTGGTTTTAGACTTCTTAATATTTGAATGCCTGCCATGCTGATGAAGAGACACTGAAACACTCAAACTATTCTAGAAGTGGAGGAAAAAATACCTCAACACATCCAGTCACACAGCCAGGTGACAGAACATTCAAACTCCTGGGGTGCTGATCTTTGAGGTGTTTGTGTCTCCAGCTTAGCCCAGGAGGGCAGCAGTGCTGGCTGCCTGGCTTGGAGACTTCCTTAGGCCTCAGTGCCCTGGGCAGCCTGACCCCATCTGCTTTTCCCTGCAGCTTTTCAGTTTCCTGACCACTCTGCAGTGGGTTCTTCTGCAGAGAGAGGGGCAAGGGGCCCCCTCTGTGCTCTCATGGGAGGATGCAAGTGTGAAGGGGTTGATGTGTAATGGCGGACACAGTTCTGTGTCTCTTGCTGTGCTCATTCTCAGCAAAGTCACCTGTGCTGTGAAAGGGGTGCTCTTTTGTTTTCTAAGAGTCAGCCCAGAGATACAGAGCAGCCAGAGTCTTTTCTTCCATTTTAGGTCACAGCTTACTTCTTCACTGTATGTATGGACTTGGAGACTATACGACTGAGCCCTGGTCACTCTTTTTCAACCCATAAGCCTTAAAATAATGTCTCCAACTCCTTATAAATCATAAGGTCTCCAAAAGGGCAGAAGGAGCAGAAAAAGACTATCATCAAAGTCTCAAAATGCATACAGCACAGCTATTTACTTTCTATGCCCCTGGATCCGGGTTCTACAGAGAAACAGATCAATAGGATCTGTTGATATCTATCATCTATTGAGAGATATATTTAAGGAACTACCTCATAAATCATGAGTCTAAAAAATCCCATAACTTTCCACCTGCAATCTGGAGGCCAGGAAAGCCACTGGTGTAATTTAGACCAAATTCAAAGGCCTGAGTATTGGGCAATCGATGGTGTAAATCCCCTGCCAAGGCCAGGAGAAGATGAGAAGCAACCTCTCAGATTGGCAGGGAGGCTGGAAAAAGTGCAAGGTGGAGGGACTCTCTCCTTGCTCATTTTTGTCCTGGGCAGGTCTCAGTGGAGGCAGCTCACTCACAGCAGCAGGGGGAAGAGCCTTCTCCTTTACTGATCAAATGCTAATCTCACCCAAGACCCCCACCCCAAGCCACAGTGCTCTGTCTGGAAGCCTATGGTCCAGTCCAGTTGCCATGTAACATTAACATCTTAGTCTCCACCTGGGCCTCAAGTCCCCCGCCTCTAGTCACAGCTGAGTGTGCAAACCCTGTACAAGGCTGCCCAATGCGCAGCCATGGTGTGAGTGAGAGAACACACCCACAGCACTCAGGACGGCTGCAAGGGCATGGCCAGGTTCTGTCCTGCAGCCTGACATGCTGAAGTTTGCATGCAACTACAGGCCTTGTTTTCTTGTTTCCAAACTGCTTCAGGGCCTTCAGAAGGACTGAGGAGCCTAGGAAGATTTCACTTACCTCTATGATATCTACCAGTAATTTTTCCTGTTTGAAATAGGACAATGTTATTGCATACAAACATGGGTAGTTTTTAGGCAAGATAACTCTTGGTATCAGAAATCTATTTAGTGAGGGGAGTGGTATTGTTTAAGCTTATTTGAGTCTGGGTCATACCTGGTTTCATGGGGCTCGGCTGGAGCCTCACCTCTGCCTTGGCATTCAGTGTGCTTATTTCTTGTCTTGACTGAAGACTGTGAAGAAACAGGCCAGGACAGGGAGGTGCATCTCCTCTACATTCTTTTCATGTAGCTATAGATTCAGTTCTTTGCCTGTCAGCAAAACAAGACAGAAGTGGTTTCTTAATCTCATTGTTAAAACTGAAACTGTTTATTTTCCATTTCTCTTTAAACCATTGGTCTTCTTGTTCTGTGAGCAGATCTTTTGTCCATGCATGATTTTGTAATGTCACACATGGATGCTATTGTCATGGATGCATGTGGACATGATTGTCTTACTGAGTGATGGGGTTTTTTCCCCCAGTATCGACACCTTTCATCATATATCACAAAATCAAACCTGATATCATTGACCAATTTTTAATACTTTCCTGGTAATCTGGGAAATTATTAAGAAATGTGAATGCTGTGAAGCTCAGAATGGTAGATACAAGCTTTACCAAATTTTAATTTTTGCTTCAGTGCTCAAATCTGATCAGCAGCAGCAAGTACTATCATTGTTTCAGGGAAAAGATGCTTGCTTTACTCATTCTCAAAGAACTATCTGTCAGAGCTGAAGATCAGTGGAATAGATTAGAAGATACAACCACAACTACAAACACACTCAACCACCTTATCTTTGATAAAGGAGCCAAGCAGGTTCACTGGGAGAACGACAGTCTCTTTAATAAATGGTGCTGGAAAAACTGGCTCTCCATAGCCGAAAACTAAAACTAGACCCATGCCTGTCACCATGTACTAAAATAAAATCTAAATGGGTCAAAGATCTAAATATTAAAACAGAAACACTAAATATATTGGAAGACAAATTGGGTAAAAACCTTGAAGATATAGGAGTAGGTAGAGAATTCATGAATAGGACTCAAACCGCATGGGAAATACTTCCCAGAATCAATAACTGGGATCACGGAGGACTTCCGGGAGAACATGGCGGACAGATAGCAGATACTACGGAGGCTCTCTGAAAGGCTTGGTTCAGAAGTCAGGAATGGTGTAGACTAAGGAGACATAAGCCGGTAGAGGTATGCTCTGCTGACTCAGGAACGAACTGGGCTGAGAGAAACTTGGAATGCAGTCCTGGTGCTAAAACAGGAACAGAAAAGTCTCGGTGTGGAGGCTGGACCCTGCGCCATTGGAAGCTGTGATTTGGGTTTCCCGCCGCGCGGCAGCTGGCTGCCTCTACATCGGCTTGGCAAGGAGAGAGATGCGCAGAAGCTCTGAGAACGGGAGCCTGTGAACGGAGTCGAAAACAGGACGGGCAGAGAGGCGTATGCTGACTTGTGGTGAGGTGAGTGAGAGAAACTGACACTCTACCACAGTTTGACTCCAGTGGAGGACTTTCTGGGCTCGGGCAGTCCTGCGGGAGCAGGACGCGGTGGTGACTCCAGCCACACATTCCCTTCTCGGACGGGATTGGTGAAAAGTGCCTGGCCTGTGTGACGCTGCTGGCGGACTTGGTAGGCTGGCCCAACCCAGATCCCAGAGCCTGACAGTGGCCTGGAGGGGCGACTCCCGCGTAGGCTGCCTAGTCCGTAACTCCCTGGTGCGCTGCGGTGGGCGGGAACACCTAGCCAGCGCAATTCGATCAGGCTGTGGCTGACAGGGAGAGAAGCTGGGCCTCCTATGTAAGCTTGCATATATAAGGAACAGAGAATATGGGAAGAGGCAGCAACAAGAAAGGCTCCTCGGCCCCCAATTCTGAGAAACAGGCAATAGCGGACACCGCACCAATAGACATAAAGCACCATATAGAGAGCCTCATAGACCAATTCAGGAATGAAGTTATCAACGACCTGAAGCTAGAAGTAGGCAGAATAGTTAGAGAAATGCTAAGTACCACCCAAGAAAAAACAGGTGGTGGAATGGAAGAACAGAAAAAAAGGGGAGAATTGTTTGATGGAGAAAACAGAGAAAGCATAGAATACGTGAAGCAGGTTCAAAGGCACTACCAAGATACTAAGAAGTCTATAGAAGACTGGCATAACAGCTTGAAAGAAACTAAGGACAGACTATCTGAACTGGAGGGCAGACTTGTAATATGGGAGAATGAAATGAAAAACTTCTTAAAAATAACAAAGAAACAAACAGCAATAATACAAAGACAAGAAGATGATAAGAGGATCCATAACTTAAGGATTAAGAACATAGAAGAAGAAGTAGGGACACAAACAAATGAACTACAAAAGCTACTCACAGAAATAATCCAGGAGAATTTTCCTAATTTAGCAAAAGGTAAAGATACTCAGATGTATGAGGCATACAGGACCCCAGCTACCTACAACCCTAACAGAGCGACACCCAGGCATATAATAATCAAAATTCTAGAAATTCAATACAAGAACAGAATATTAAAAGCTGTCAGAGACAAGAAACAGACCACTTACAAGGGAACACCATCAGAATTACAGCAGATTTCTCTGCACAAACCATCAAATCACGAAGAGCGTGGGGGGAAATAATTCAAGCTTTGAAAGAGAATAATCTCCAGCCAAGATTGAGATATCCTGCACAACTGTCCCTGGAAATTGATGGAAAAACAAGGTGCTTCCAGGATAAAGAGGAACTGGGGGAATTTGCAACCACCAATTCAACTCTGCAGAAAGTATTGCAGGATATTCTAAGAAAAGAAAAATACAAAGAACCCAGAAATAGTGGCAGAGAGGCCACAACAAATGGAGCAGAGAACAAAATGAAGAAGACAAACTGACAGCTACTGATAGAAAAAGAGCTCAACAGAAATGAGGCAGAGAAGATTGGATGATAGGAACAGCTATTTTGGAGAAAATGACATTTTAGTAGGTAATACTGATTTAGTATCATCTTGTTTTGAAGTCTCATCTAGCTTTTGTTCTTCTGTCTCCAATGGTCTAAATAGGTTGTATCTTATTGGATTTTATTATGTACGATAGTATAAGCAAAAACCTTTTAAAGACAAGGAGATTATACAGAAACCATTGTTCATTTTCTGTTAGTCGATTCTAAATACTCTGTAATGCTGTCATTCTCTTAAAAGGTTTTACATTGTTTTGATATACTTAATGCTACAGTATACGAAGTTGTACTCAAGGACTTCAAGGAAAGAGTCAATATGGTAACTACTTTTGGGTTGGAATTATCTTGTGGTGAAACACTATTCTGCTTAAATGGCTATGTTTTGATCTGCACTGTTTCGCTGTTATGCCCTCTTTTATCTCAATCTCCACTCCATTATTTACTTTTTTATTTTTATCCATTTAATTAAAGGGAAAAAAATAGCAGGATATATTATAGTAACCCACTTTGACTTTCTATTATCTTGATTTGAAGCCCTGTATTACTCTCACCATCTTGTTTTTGACTGATGTTCCCCTATTCTGTTTTGTTGGATAGTATCAGGTTTGAAAGTTTAGGCATCAGCTGTGAAGATAATGAGATTCATTATGACGCCCATTCTCATTGACTTTTACCTACTTTTGAACACCTACAATGTCTCCAATGCTTTGGTTTTGTCGGTTTTGTTCTTTACTGTTTTGTTCAATTGTATTATAACTAATGATATAGGCAATTCTATTAGAGATAGCAGGAGGCATTATGGTAGCCATTGTTGATCACCTTGTATTATGTTTTTACATTATCCATTATGTCCACCCTTTTGATTTGACCGACTCTGTTCTGTTATGTCACATTTGGTTTTACTCTCTTCCAAAAAAGCAGTAAGAACCGTGGGAGCAATGAAACCCAAAATGTGTAATAGTCATTATACAAAAGAGAGGAAAAGAATGCTCTAAACTATATAACTGCATGTATATTTAAGTGTATAAGATAGAAAATGATATCACAGAGTTTTATTGGATCATTGAACAGAACTGTTTGCAGTATCATTGTTGGAATGTCCACTCTACAAGCTTTAATCTTGTGACTTGAACAATTATTTCTAAGATGGCAATATGTAATCCATTAACTAGTGATTTCCTACTGTTCATTTTTGTCTTCTGTAAATCTGTATAACTTGTACCCTTTCACTGTTTCTTTTTTCTTTTCTCCTTAAATAAAATTAAAAAAAAATAACTGGGATCACCTCTTATTAAAAAGTTTCTGCATGTCAAAAGAAATCTCCAGCATAGTGAAAAGAAAACCCACAAACTGGGAAAAAAATCTTAGTGAACTGCCCCTCAGATAAAGGACTTCTGTCTAAAACATATAAAGAATTTAAAAAAATCAAACCCTCAAAATTCAAAGACCCAATCCAAAAGTGGGCATCTGAGATGAATAAACAATTCTCTGTTGAAGAAATACAAACGGCAAATAAATATATGAAAAAATGTTCATCATCATTACTCATTAGAGAAATGCAAATTAAAACCACACTGAGATTTCATCTCACTCCTGAAAGAATGGCCAAGATCAAGAAAACCACCAACAACAAATGCTGGAGAGGCTGTGGGGAAAAAGAAACTTTCCTGCACTGTTGGTGGGAATGTAGACTAGTGCAACCATTGTGGAGGTCAGTCTGGAGATTTCTCAGAAAACTGGGACTGGAAGCCCCATTTGACCCAGGTATTCCTCTTCTAGGCATCTTCCCAGAAGAACTGAAAGCATCATACCACAGTGATATATGTGCATCCATGTTTATAGCAGCACAATTTGTAATAGCCAGATCTTGGAAACAACCTAAGTGTCCATCAACTGAAGAATGGATAAAAAAGTTGTGGTATTTTTATACAATGGAGTACTACTCAGCTATAAAGAAGGATCACATTGAGACATTTATAAATAAATGGATGCAGCTTGAGACCATACTTATAAGTGAAATAAATCAAACTCACATATATAAATACCAAATAGTTTCCCTAGTGTAAGAAATGATAAGAATACATAAAAGTATGTGGTAATCATGATTCCCAATCATATTGGTTTGAAGCCATATAATGTTTTCACTCATTAACCACAATGGTTTTAACCTGGGTTGTTTGAATTTAGTATCTATGATAGTACAAATAGCTATTTTGAAGAAAACAACACAACATAAAAGCTAGTGCTGATTTAATATCATCTTGTTTTGAAGTCCCATCAAGCTGTGGTACATCTGTTTCCACTGGTTTTTTTTTTTTTTT